AGGTGGAGATGAAGGGGGAAAAAATCAAAGAACTGGGGGAAAGATAGCAGGGGAAGAAACCCACGCTTTGTTTTGCAACCGAGATGCATGATTTCTCCCATGTTCCTGCTCTTTCGAGTGATGGAACGAGGTGCTCAAGGGCTGGGGCAAGGAGGGAGTTAAAGCAAGGAACAACCGATGAAATACGTGTTGCTCTCCTGTCAGTGTGCCAAGAGCTGTATTTACTCTTGCTTTTATTTTTGCGGACCGCTCAGCCGATGCTGGATGCGCTATTAGGCAGAGCCAGCGCAAGACTAAGCCTTCCTGCAGGAATTCACAGGATGAGCCGTTCCCACAACATGTCAGTAGGTGGCAAAAAGCTACAACCCTTGTGCTAAGCAAGAAATCAATATTTTTCTTACTCCTGCAAGAACAGGAGGTATCTGTGGGCAGCTCTGTCCCATCGGTGGAGATGGATCATGTTCGCCCTGGGCCAGAGATCCTTGCCCCAGCACTGCTGGGAGGGAGGGGACATCCCAGAAAGGGCAACATCCCATACCGGGAGCAGGTAAAGATGCTCAGGAGAGAAACAAGAGCTGCCTCCCTTCTCTTTATTCATCAGGGGACCCTTTTGCCGTCTCTTGACCTTGCTCAGGAATTATTTAAAGCAAGCTGGAAACCATAAGGGCTTAATCGTTTTTTCCAGCCTTGGAAAACAAGAGATTTAGGCTTGTACTTTCACGGCACAGTCTGAGGATACCTAGTCAGACAAACCAAAATGTGCCATGGTTGATATTTTTCAAGCTGATGATAATACTTTAATCTTCGTGTACAGCCTGAAATGGAGCTGCTCAGGTCGATGTTCCTGGGCGCTTTTCTCTCGTGGCTTTGTGCAAGCAGATTGAAGCAATCCCAGTTGCCTGTCACACACCTTCCAGTGAGGCAGGGCAGATAAAGGGTTTAATAAGGTTAGTGGATATATCCCAGTGCCTTTGATGGTCGGGTTTTTTCTGCTTTTGAAGGTGTGCATGCATTGGGGAAGGGAGGACGTTGCACAGTGCTGAAAACTTGCATTCCTGAGGAGGTCAAATACTCTGAGCACCAGGTGGGACAGAGCTCAGGAAGATTGGAAAATCACATTAATCCAGAGTACTCGATGAGATCCAGTTACAGCGTGGCTTTGTTCAACTTTATTTACCTAATACCTCTCTTTATGAAGTGTAAGTAAATAAGTTTTCTGCTCAGGAATGATAACAGAGATATTACAGCAACCTTGGCTGCAAGATCACTGAAATATCTTTCTGCTTTTTTAAATACAGAGATAAGGTTCATCGACATTTCCTCATAAGTTGTACATTTAATTGCTAATGATTTTGCCAGACATTAACTGCTGGTGCTGACTTTCCCCAGCTCGGTTGTCAGCTTCGAGCTGAGCATCATCATTTTGTTTTAGCATTTCAGCAAAACTGGTTCAGCTAATCCTGAGCTGGAGGAACTTGGGTTGCTCTGGCCATGTTCATACCATCAAAAAAACCATCCTATAACCGTTTCACTGGGAACTTTTAACGTCCCTGTGCTTTGGGGCAGGGATCTATCTTACCAAAATCTCCCCTTTCTTCAGGGCTGTGCCATTTGCTGATACCCATAGCCACGTCATTAACTCCCTAGAATCTCCATTCTTTGTCATTTTGGTGAAAACTGATAATGTGAATTCTCTGAAGGCGCTGGATCTGAGCTGAGCAGCCTCTGCCTCGGCACAGCTCCTATGGCAAGACACATTTAACCTGCAGGATGGGTCCAGTCTTGCCTCAAAACTGGGCGGCTGGTATGAGATAACCACAGAAACAACTTTTTAGCCAGCAGGAGAGAGGCTTTGCAGCCCTTAGATAGTCATAATTAGGTCAGACAAATCCCACTCTACTTCCCTGCTCTCAAACCTTCCCTCTTGGCTCTTCCTCCTCTGACTACACATTGCTCCGCACCACCAAAATCAATCCCTGTGCAGGTTTCCTCATCGTTATCCTTTAAAACTCATCGGACATCCGTGCCTGCCAGCCGGGATGCAGCAGTGCTCCAGCCTCTCCTCCCCGGGGAGGGATGCTGGGGTCAAGGCGAGGGGCTCTGCTAAAACCCAGACACTGGTGTGTGTGTGTGGTGCGTGACTTGGATTGAAGCTGCGTGTGCTCAGTTATGTCGAGTGGCAAGTTTCATCCTCTCCGTAGTTGACTGTAATGACTCAGCCTTCAAACGATGAGCTAATATTGAGCATGTGGAATTGGAAGCTATTCAGAGAAAAACAGCTCTGTGAAGTCTTCCTTGCTGAGTTGCAGTGCACGTGTTGTGGGGTTTTTTTTTTTCCCCCTCATCTTCTGTAATTTGTAGAAAAGTCTAAGTTTCACCTTTGGTAATAGAGAAAACATTTTCATTTCCAGCCTCTGGAAGGATGTTAGAAAACATGAGAAGAGGATGAGTTGCCATCTGCCTCGCTACAGGTTACAATGAATTAATACGATTGAGAGCAGCACAATCAAACAGTTTTGAGCACCAGAAGTAGGAAACGGGTTTCCTGGTTTTATCGCCTCCATGACAGCAAATTTTGCACACCGTAAAGTGATAAATTAATGCTCAGAGTCTCTTCTCTGCACAGTCTGTGGTATGGATCGACTGGTCCACATAAACTTCTCCGTGGGCAGCACTCTTCCCCAAGGCTGGCAACATGATTATTGGAAAACTAATCAGCTCTATCTGAGATAAATTGCATTTCCACCAATTATAGCTTAATTGTTGACAGATGGGAACACAGAAGGGAGATGTGTCACATCATTAAGAGAACAGGTGTATAGACAAGTGCCAGATTAATTGTTCCAGCCCATTAAATCATTGACCTTTTCAGCATACCCTCAACATCAAATTCAAAGTGCTCACGGTATTTCCAGCTCACACACGATGACCATGTTTATCAGCAAATTTCTCAGGGGCATCTTTAAAACACACAGACTCCAGACATGGACTCATTAGCCATGAGCAGTTCTCCTTTCTCATTAAAATAATTTGTCTTCTTTCTCCTTCTCTGTCTTGAGATTTGTTTTCTTGGCTTTTCAGTGAAATCACGCATGGCGTGTGGGTTTTCTCCAAAAAGCAGTTTTCTCCATGAAGCATGTAGACATGCTGTAATGGGCCATACATTAAGGGATGTCAAAAAGAGAGAGAGGTGAAATCAGGACAGAGAAGTTCAGTGCTGGGCAGCTGTGCTGGAGGCTCCAGCTTTGATTTGTGGCTTTGGCTGTGATTTCCAGCTCCTGCTTTGCCTAGGATTTTCAATAAAGCTTGAGTTAAATACCATTGACACTGAGGCAGTCATGGGTGTCTAATTCCCCTAAATATGTGTAAAAATGTGTCTCCTGCTCTTTTTCTGGCTGCGTAATCCAGGAAGCTGAGGATGCAGCACAGACACATCCAAAACAGTTTTGTGGGAGAAAGTGCACGTTTGAGACAGCGATGCAGGGCATGCCTCGTCTGTCCTGAGCTACCCAAACCCTGTGCTGTCCTCGAGAGTTGAGAACCGACTCCAGATCTCGTTGTTCTGGATGTCCTGACTTGAAAAATAAGAGGATAAGCTTTCCAGCTGAAGAAAATGAAAGTCGCTGAGATGATAGTTATATTTGTTACTCCTGGAGTCCCTGTCCTGTGCCAATGAGCTGATTGGAAGATGTTTTACCCTTGGATAGGTTTTAGAGAGACCAAGTGGAAAGCAATCTAGGGAGACAAGGAGGAGGTACGAGGAAGGGTGGATGCCCTTTGCCAGTTCTGCAACTTCAAACGGAGGTAAAATTGATGCTGGGAATCAGGCAGGTGTGTTTGCCAGGGCCAAGGCTGGTGGTGAGCTTTCTCCCTCCCTTCTGTAGCACCGGTCCCCTACATATCCAGTTTGTCACGTTAAAATAACTACATGTTGTGTAACTGAAATCTCATTTTATATGTATGTGCTTGAATGACATAGTGTGTTCCGCAAAGCTGATGTGCGTTTACTGCGGTGGCCTTTACGGATCTACAAAGAAGACCAGATAGGAGACAGGAGAACCGGGTGAAGTTCCCTCCCAGATAACGAATGATTTTATAAGGAAAAGCAGATAGTTTTATGAAAAAATACAGTTTAGGAGAGATGGAAGCTGAGAGAATCTCTTTGCTAGATCTGATACCCTTCATATAACCATCTTTTTCAATATACTCGGAAATGTCAGATTGCAACAGGGCAGCTTGTTCAAATTCTCGGTGGATGCAGCAGCCTGGACCAGCACCACCGGGGTACGTGCCTGCAGGAGATGCTGGAGATCCCTCAGTTTCCACCATTCACTGCACAGCACTGAACCCTGAACAGAGAAAACAAGTGAACAAAAGCCAGCGTTTTCAGAATATTATCCATAAAATTGGAGGTTAGTATTGAAGAAAATACATGTATTTCTGTGTCCAGGATAGGGGATGAGAGGAAATTGAAAAAAAAGACCCAAAAGGAATTTTAGAAATGTCAGAATATTTATTTTAAAGACTTCCTGCATAAGTCCTTTTACCTTGCATTTTGAACTGGGTTTTAGTGGTTTAGAAAAGGATATACGGTCAAAACCAAGTTAAACAGAAAGGCTGAGTAACCGAAAGGCAAGTGAAACATTTTGTTTCTGTTGGAACTTAATATTTGGGGTTAACCCAGAATTTTTTCCAGCTTCTGCTTGGTTTTTTAGCAAGCCTCCTCCTCCTCCTCCCTCTACCCCCACTTCATTGTTGCTCAGTCCAAGCCATCTTTCCGCCCAGATATTTTGATTGGGCCACATAACCCTGACAGTCAGTATTTACTCCACATCAGTGATCTCCTCATTTCCAGCTGTCCTATCCGCTGACCCGTACTCCCAGAAACGCCACATACTGCAAACATCGTGTCTCTACCCTCAGTCCATCCGTCTGGGGGGGTTTCATCCCCACCAGAGCTGGGGCTTGTTTTTTCAGCACCTCCTTCTCGCCCCAAGCCACTAGAAATCCCTATCAAAGAAGTCATCAAAGAGAGAAACTCTCTCCGTTTTGGTTCTCACAAGCGTAGGTTTGCGGTAAAACTTCTTCTCTTCCCTTTCCCACTCTTCGGACCCTGTGCTGGAGGTGTCCCAGAAGAGATCCCTCGTCCGCGGCTCCTTGCAGAACCACAGGTCAACCTTCCTGCTCCTGCCTGGAGAGAGTTCATCCCCATCATGCTGCCTGGAGAGTCCTTCACCCCACGTGTTTCCTTGGGGAGAGAAAAAAAAAAAAAAATCATAATTTTGCGGAGTCTGTTGCCTAGTTTAGCTGGAAATGGCTATGGGCAGCTGGAGGCATGTAAAGAAGATCCTGAGAGATCCCTGTAAGACCAGACCCCATGCTCGGGGTTGGGGAGGGTAAGGTATCATATACTCAGGATTATATTTGGTGAAATTATGGAGTCTGGCAAGAGGCAGCATGGGTTTATCCCCAAGCAGAAGAGAGCTGAGGTGAAGAAACACGAGGGAATAGGAGCAAGCAAGTCTGTTCCCCTTTCTCCTGGTGAAAGTTCACTATGAGACAAGTTTTTCACTGTTTTAAGCATTTTTACCCCCAGTGATAAGTTTCCAGCCTGTGCAAAAAACTGTCACGTGCAAGCAAAGCCAAACAAGGTTTGTACTTCAGGGATGTCAGTACGAAGTGGTGGCTGAGATTCACTTCAATTTCCCCTTCGTTAGGGACAGTGAGGTCACCTTGTGTGCCCTGGCATCTCCAACCCCCCCAGCCTGCACCAACCACTGCAAACACAAAACCACCGGAGGTCAACCCTCCAGATTTACACTACTTTGCCCACCTGTCCTCGAGGTGGGCAGGGGACTGAGAAACCCCTGCTCAGTGTTCGCTGGCGTCGCTGTCACGCAGACCGTGCCGTGCTCCCTCCTGTGCTACAACGTGGGCTGCAGAGGACAACGTGCCCAAGGGAGGCTGAGACCTATCACCATGAAATGAATTTCACCTGGTGTGTTTTCACATCAGATGTTTAAAGTAACAGAGAGCTATGGCTGGAAATCATCTGTCAGGGAACATCTCACCTTAATTACGTATCACCCGGAGGGATGCAAATCTCCGATGGAAATTGCCCGGCTCTGGTCAGTGGGAAGCAGTTTTCATATAAAACTAAACCGAAGAAGTGAGTAACCTCAGTGACTGTAGCATTTACCCCATGGTCCTTTAAGGATGGCGGGAGTCCAGAGGCTACACCATGCATATAAATGCAACATATTGGTGGGCCATAGAATCATAGAATCACAGAATCATTATGGTTGGAAGAGACCTCAAAGATCAAGTCCAACCATATACCCAATGCCACCATGCCCGCTAAACCCATTAAACCATGTCTCAAAGCACCACATCTAAACGTTTTTTGAACACCTCCAGGGATGGTGACTCCACCACCTCCCTGGGGAGCCCGTTCCAATGCCTAACGACCCTTACAGTGAAGAAGTTCTTCCTAATATCCAGCCTGAACCTCCCCTGGCGCAACTTGAGACTGAATGCAATGATGCATTGAGACCGTGCAATGATGAAGCCAGGAGCAAATCTCTGGCAGCTGTTGCTCAAGCAGCTCATTCTCCATTTCTTTCTCCTGCTGAGCCAGGTTCCAGCTTCCCAACATGCTCAAGGGTGCTCTGCCAGAGAAGAGCTAACTGCAAGGTTCAACACTCTAAAATTATGTGGGTACTCTCCTTCAGTCCATCATGCATGTCAAGGGGGAGAGACAAGGCTGACTGTCCTCCCAAAAAACGGTCTCACAAGGTCCCTGAAAATAACCAGTGATCTCAAATCATCCAGGTTTCCCTTTGGCTGCAAGGGAACATCTCATTTCCTTTCTCCAGAGAAAAATTTGAGATGTAACCAACCTGGTGCAGTATAAGAGCTCTTCTGAAGCCCACTCTGCTTGACCCCAGCTGAAGATGTCAGCTGGTTGTTTGCACCACATGCCCTGGTATATTTTGCTGGGGAGCCACGTAGTTGTGTACCCACTGATGACTGCAGCTACCAGCAGCTCAGCCCTGTGGTCCTTCCAGGAAGGGACAAGCTCTGCGGCTGCACGGGGCAATCGCTGGGTCAGCGTGGGGCTGGGGCTTGGCTTTGGCCCCCCAGCTGAGGAGGGATGCATATTGCAGTAGAGACTCTGCCAGAGGAAGAGCTTAAAGAAAAGCTGGCAGGGCAAGTTTTAATTGACTTCTGCCAACCCCGCCAGAGTGACCGCTGTGATGTTTTCATAGCCTGTGTCCCCATGAGCACACCCCAGGCTCAGGCAGGAGGCATCCCATGCTGGGACAGAGGGAAAGGGGCAAAACCTGGTGAAAGGGTTGACTTTCAGGCAGTTGTTTTCAATTTTTTTTCTCCTTCACCCCTTTGGCCATCATGTTGGTGGAGCTTCAGAGGTTTGCCCCAGCCCGTGGATGTTCACCTATGCACTGGTCCATATGCTCACCTCCTGGGACGCTTTTGCCTGATGGACCTCCTGACTCTCCAAGGATGTGAGATGCCAGTGACACCCTCTGTCCTCACACCCAGTTTGCTGTGCAGGGGACATGTGGGACAAGCTAAGGCTCTGCTACCAGTGGGAACCTGCTCCTGCAGGGGCCTGGCCCTGAGGATTTGGGGTTTATGCCCCTATGGCTAACCTATGGCTCTTAATTCACATCTGCTCAGGTCTGTTTGGATGCTATCAGAGAAGCAGCCCAGAGACCTGCGCCCTGTTCTGAGGCATCCCAACGCTTTGCCTTACAAACACATCTCCCAACCTTCTCCCCCAGAGTCTTTTGAACTTGCACCGTGTCACTGCAGGAGATGGAGGAGTGGAAGCAGCTTCCATAGGGAAACTTCTCTGATGACATTTAAGAGGCTGGTGAGTTTTACATCTCCATGGAAATTTATTCTACTTACCACGGTCGTCTCCATGAAAACATTGATTGTGCTCAGCAGGGATGAGGTCTCGGCTTTCGGCACTGTCGCCTCTCTGGAGAGTGTCAAGGACTTTCTTTGGGCTGAATTCCCTGATTTTTTGTTTATTGATTTTTGCCTCCCTGTGGAGATTTCGCTTCAGCTCTGCCTGGGTTTGCAAACGAGTCATCAACACAAGCAGCAGAGGAGCAAACACGTTTTAACAGCTCGATGCAGCGTATCATTAGGGGGTTGGTGCTGCAAATAATTACACAGTCGAGTAACTTAACTTGAGCAAATGGTATTTGCCAAACTGAGTACGTGACAGAACATGACCCGGACAGAGATTTTTGGTTTCCTCATGAGCCACGGCCAAATGAGGGCAAAGTGTTGGAAAAATCAGAAGTAATTACTGATCACAGGGGCCCTGGAGATGCTCCCCACCTCTGCTCTACCTGAGCCACTGGGAAAGCTTTGTTTGTCCTTCCCAGCAAGAGGCTTTAAGCCTCCTGCTCCATGGGAGAGACACTGGGGATGGACAGACCCTTGTCCAAGAGGGGAAGCCCCAGCCTCTCCCCAAATCCATCTCATCATTACCTCTCGGCGCCTGCGGGTCAGGTCCAGCATCTGCAGCTTGTGCAAGTGCTGCCGCCTGCCAGGGAGCTGTCTCAGGCTTTGTCCCCTCTTCTCCAGAACCTACGAGGTATTTAAAAACATAAATAAATACATCTGCGTTTTCCAAAAGAGAAAGGAACAACCACCAGTTCGCAAACCCATGCCTGGCCCCTCAGGCGCTCCCCAGATAAAGGCAGCGAGTTTTTCCCTGCATAGCCAACTTGCAGCAATTTATCACAGGTTTTCAATGCGCTTGCAGTTTATCTCACAGCTCTGGGACATGTTGGAAAAAAATCTTTGTTAAAACAATGTATACATGCTTCTGCCCCCCAAGGTGTTACCGCTTTGAGTCAGCTATCCAAGATCATCTCATGATCTGAAGACAGGAACCACTTCTTCACTTTTGGGGTTGCAGGAGGTGTTTACGGCACACGGCACTTGCAGCCTTCTCCCTGCCGACTGCAAGTGATGGGGGTTCAAGTTGCTCAGCCAGTTAAAGAAGTGGTCCTCAAACCTTTAGCCTCAAAAATATTTAAGGTCCTGGCTCAGCATGTCCGCCTCATCCAGGGAACTGTCATTCAGGAGACTCAGAAACTTTCCCCTTATTTTCTATCCTTTCACTCACACACCAGTGTTTCAGTCGGTTCCCGGGCTCAGCCAGGGACAGGAGCGCAGCCAGTGTAAAACACCAACTTCAGCTCTTTGGGGTGCCCAAACTGCGAGGGAAAGGAGCCTGCAGCCAGCAATGCCCCGTGCACGGGGCACAACCCACACGCTTACCTTTGGTTTTGGGCTTGCAGCCGCTTCTTGCTGACTCCAGGGCTTTGCAGGAGTGATTGCTTGCAGAGGGCCAGCAGGTCCAAGCCTCTATAAGTCCAATATTTATAATATTCAGCATTGCTTGTTCCACACAATCACAAAACCTGATATGAAACTACCGTGACATTTTTCCAGCTCCAGTTCTGGCCCAGCTGCTCGGGGTACAGAAAGGAGATTGCTCGGTGAGGTGAACATCTCCTTTGGCCTTCCAGGAGTGGGCAAAACTGGGGGAATCTCCTGAATTACAGTCGAAGCAGCAAAAACCCAGTTCAACATTAGTTTCATCCATGTAGGTATTTCCCTTTGAGCCTCAACGGTGCCCAAGTCTCCAGCCAAGACCAGACTGAAGACAAACATCAGCTCAGATGGCTTCATGTCAAAGCTGAAGCACGGAGAAGTATCATAATTCAATAGAAAGTCTCCTAGCAGGTCATGCAAGGGCAGATCCCAGTTACCTGAGACCCAGAGCACCGTTCCCTCTGTCCAACCAGTCTCTTTTACGTTGGCCTAAGTAAGACCTTTCTCTGCAGAACTGTGGTTAATGGAAGCGAGCAGAGACTTGCTTTACAGACTGTTCTGAGCATGGACTTTTATCTTAAGGAGCTAAGTTGCTTCCTCAAACCAAGCCAAACTACTAGATGACACTGCGTCATTTCATGCCTTGATATTGCTAGTGTGCCCTTCTAGGATGGGAGCTCAGTGCGGCTTCCATACAAATTAAGGGGAGCATGAGCAAGGACTTCATCAGCAAGACCTGACTTAACTTTATGTATCATTAACTCCTTGAATACGAACTAGTGTCCCATAAATGATGACGTGTCTCTGACTGTCTGCACCGAACTGCTGCCAAAGCCTGAGCTGTAACTTTGAAGCATCCTGTAAATCAGTGCAAAAACGCAGGAGGAAAAAAAGTCAGCAACATCATGTAAAGGAGGAATTCCCCATCAGCCCTGAATGCCAAGTTCACATGTCTCTTAGCATCAAAAAACCCCCACAAAACTGAATATGAAGCTTAAAAAAATGGCACTAGATGGCAGCATGTGACACCACAAACTGCAGTCCGGGCTGTGCATCCTTCCTGGATGCCACCAAGGCCACCAGCGTGGGGTGGCTGAAGACAAATAAACTCCTGCATCTATCAGCTCATCTCGCTGCGCCTGGTGGGGAAGCCAAGTTTCAGGTTTTCTGCTAAAGTTGTGTCGCAGGCTGGAAAATCAACTCTTTTGTCTCTGTGAACCTCACGGGATTTTTCTCTGGAAATACTCTCTGACTGAAATCCTCTAAAAGTCCTTGAGAAGGCCACGTCATCCTGCTCTGCTGTCTTTGAAAATATTCCAGTAGGGAAAAGGGCTTTTGCTGGTGCAGTTTACACTCCCTAACAGCAATGGCAGAAACACAGGGTGGGATTAAAACAGTGTTGCCCTGCAATAAGTATTATCAGTGTTTTAATAATACACAAATACAGCCGTAATGGAAAGGAGATCAATGACTAAAAATTACATGCTGGGAGGAGACTTTAAATGAGGCTGCGATTCCACGTGACAGTTCACAGGGTGTAGCTGGGCTTATTCCAGGTGCTGCTGCCTCATCCTCCCACCAAATCCAGGGACACATTATTCAATAGTTGGTGGCCACCCGTGCTCTCTGAAGCCACCAGTCTTGGCCAGAGCCGCAGCCCTCAGTGAAAGGTGTTTAACTGATGATCCCTTCTGGTGACTCTTCTGGTCTCTATTATATTAAAAAGACCTTAATCACAGCAAGGAAGGTTTGAGCAAACCACCCCTGCTTCAGCAGGTTTGCTGTTGTGGGACATGTGCAGAGGGCTTGGGAGTTTTGAGAGAGCAGAGATGCTCTCCCAAAGTTTTGGGAGAGCGGAGATGCTCTCAGGAGAAACACGGGGCTCTCCAAGCAGTGCAGGGAGATGTTCCCCCAAGGATTTGAATTGCAAGAGGTTATATAGGTGGCTGGGAAGGAAGATGACCAGCATGGACAGCCGAGGAGCAGCTCGGTGCTGGTGTAACCCAGGGCAGTCCCAGGGCTGCTCCAAGCTTCACCCAGTGCTGGGCTGACCCATCATCTACAGGAGTGCTACAGAGAAGCACACAGCCAGTCAGGGCAAATACATCTCTCATGGGTTAAACAGCCAAGAAATGTGTTTGCCTGTCTTTATCCCCAACCACCCATCACTGAGGACTCCCTCCAGCTGCCTAATTAGGTTGCTGATGTGCCCCATGCAGCTGGGACCTCTTAGAGGTATAGCTTTGGTCCTTAATTGCTAATTGAAAGTCCTGCCTGAATGAGAGCGTGGTGGGAGTGGGTTATTTCCAGTAGCTGAGTGCTTCCCCAAGCAGAATGCCCTGGTGTACCTGTGCTGGTGTACCAAGTTATTCCCTTTTCCTACCTGATTTTATTCTTCTGAGCCCTGTTTGTTCTCAGTTTTGGAAACCCCAGGCCTGGACCAAGCTGCAGAGAAAAAATGCAGCCAAAAGCCTCAAGCAGGAGCTCTGAAAGAGAAAGATCTGAGGAGCAAAGTTGGGGAGCTGCAGGTCTGGGGCATCCAGAGCGGGGCTGAGCCTGGTGTCCCCGATGTCCCTCCCTGACCCTCTGTGGGCACACAGGGAGGGAGGGAGAAAATCTCAGACATTGGTAGCTTTGCATCCTCAACGGTGAGCAGGTAAGAGATGGGAAGTTGGAAGGCGTTGCTGGCTGGCTTGGGAGGGTGTGGAGAAGCAACGAAAATTCAGGTAGAGCAGAGAAAGCAGCATGGTTCTCTGCGTTTGGGTTTTAAATAACATAATCTGTGGCAAAAGGTGTACAGCTCTGGTAATGCAGCTCCAATTTAGCCCTGCGAGCACGTGATGGGGACTCTCCGAGGCCTGAGCCTCACCCAGGTTTTGTATTGTATAAAAGCACCGGTGCAGGATCTGTGGCAAAAGGTGTACAGCTCTGGTAGTGCAGCTCCAACTTAGCCCTGCGAGCACGTGATGGGGACTCCCTGAGGCCTGAGCCTCACCCAGGTTTTGCATTGTATAAAAGCACTGGTGCAGAAAAATATCCGCACAGAAAATGCATGTGGAAGGCTTCTTGTCACTTTTTAAAAAAGATGAAATAGCAACTCTAATCCTTGTGCAGCATGGTACGTCAGCCGCATTTCCTTCCCTCTTCTGCAGTAAATTATAGGGATACAGAGATATTTCTGGAGCTTTAGTTATGTTGTGGTAACTCTTGTGTAGGGGGGAAAAACCTGATTGCTAGGTCAGGTAGAGTCGTGGGTTTCAGGGCTTGGAGGCGAAGGGATCTGGGAAGTGCAGGAAGGGGAAGGGAAGGAGGTCAAGGTGGAGTGAGCAGGGCTGTTTTATGTTTGTTTTATTTATTTTATATCTAGATATACAGGTGTGTGTGTATGCACATGCATATACCAGGCTATTGAAGGGAGAAGGTGAAGGTACGTGTAGGTACACAGCATGCATAGCTATTCCTGAAATAATTGCGTATTTCCACTGGCCCCTATTGCAAAGCTCGTCTGTGTGCTTTACCTGGCGCTCTGTCCCTAAGCTGATGTCAGACCTTGATGGGATATTTGGCCTGAAGCGCCAAAACCAGCCCCACGTGATGCAAGTTGGATTCCTTCTTGCAAAGGGCTCTGTCCTGGCCACATTAGCCCCATGGGAGCACTAAGATTTGGCTGCGGGTACCCAGACACCACCAAGTGGGTCGTTACAGGAGAGGTGGCCTCATGCCCAGCGCTGGGACACGTGTCCTTGTGGAACGTCTCCATAGCACACGAGGGCTGGCTAGCGAGGCACGATCCATGGAGTCAGGCAGGGAGGGCAAAGGCAGGGCCTTGCTGCGTTGGCCACTCTTTGGCTTTTATTAGAAGATGAAGTCCTCGCCTTGGTGCTAATGAACCAAAACCAACCTCTCTGTGGTGAGCGTATCTGCTGTGCCCCAGGTATCAAACTTGGGCTGGTGATAAAGCTCACCTAGGGATGATCATCCCTAGGTAGGACCTCCTACTAGCATTGCTGTAGGTTATTTGTTTCCCCTACCATGGTGCTGTGACATGTGCCCGTGTCCCCAGGACAGCCCATGTCCACAGGTCAATCAGAGCAACTCATAGGGAGCTTTTCAAACTCGCCTTACTTGAGGTCTTCGAGGCGGGTGCTGTTTAATGATGCTGGTTTCTCCCTTTTCCGTCACAGTGTTGAAAGAAAGGGGCCCTAAAAGAAGAGAGAAGAAATGGATGAGGTTATTTTTGGGTGATCATCAACTGCTAGGCTGGACTTAGCAATAGTTTTCTGCCCTATTTTTTGGTTGGCGTGTCCCATTAAAGTCTCAGTTGGTGTACACTGGTAACACATGGTATAAATTATTCTACTGGCTGCACAAATAAAGTGAGGATGTACCTGTGCCTGTGATTTCTAACAAATGTCTGCCACGTACCTCTCCTGCTTCCCTCTACAACCTCTTATGCATCCTGTATGTGACAGCAACCATCCTCCGTGTCTCCTGTGGCCTCCCTGGGTCCCCTGTGTGGCCAAAGGTCCTCTTCTCCTCCTCTCCTCCCATGGCCATCAGCTGGCCAAGAAACCTGTGAGTTTTGTGTTTCCCCCTTTAAAGTGTGGTACAGGCAGCAGTTTGGGTCTTTTCTTGCTGCTCAGTCCCCGGGGCTTTATTATTGATATTTTTTGGTGGAACTGAGAAATATCTCTGATCATTTTACTGACCACAGCAGAGCTGGGCTACAGCTCGCCAAGTGGGTTCAGAAGGTAGTGGGTTAAGCGGTACAATCACAGACTCTAATCTTTGGAAATCAGCCCAAAATGACGTGTTACACACCAGCGATCGCCTGTTATTTATTAAAGCAGTGCTGTCGCTGAGGCCTGAACGTGATCTGGGCTCGGGTCCGTTCTGCGCTGGTGCTCTCGAGTGGACGCCACTGCCTTCTGTTTATTTTTTTTTTTCTTTTACAAAAAAGTTTCTCTATCCCACCTATTCTCCCCAAAAGCTGTCTTGGTGCACTCAAATGCCATTTTATACGTGGAGTTGAGCGAGGCGTTGCTGAGCAGCTCCTGCTCCCGCATGGCGAGAACCCTGAGGTGTCTACAGGGGAGGAGAACTGGGGATAAAGTGCAGGAATTACGTTATAGTTGATGACAAAGTTAATAGTTATGTTAAAAAAAAAAGAAATAAATAAGAATTTGGAGGTCGCCTTATGGGGCACTTCAGCGGTCCCTTTAAATGAGCCCTGTGGAAGATTGCCAAGGCAGGGCTCTTGGAGAAGAAAGCGAGAAGGTGATGGATGGAGGGCACTGGGGTATGGGAGGAGACGGTAACTCCATCGGATAAATGATTGCTGGGCTCTGCAGAGCACCAACAATCATTAACCGCTGAGCAAAGCCGTGGCTGCTCCACACATGCAGGAATGGGCACCTGAAGTGAACGTTTTGAGCGTAGATGTCTCCTCCGGAGACAGACTTCAGCTGCCAGGGAGCACACGCTGAAATAGCAGCTTGAAATAGCAAAAGAGGGGGTTATTAAGTTATTGACTCTTAATCTGCAGGACTAATTAGTGCATAAAGAATTTCTAAGGGGGAAGTAAAACATAAGGAGGTGCTTCACGGTGCTGGGAATGTGGGACCTGGCACAGGCAAGGGGCTGGGGCTTGAGAGAAGCTTGTTCTGGCAATGAGATTTTTTTTTTTAAAAATACATTTAAATTATTCCCTTTCATTGTATCCATGCGTGTGTCTTTTAGGAGATTTGCCTTTATCCTCTGCAGATACAGAACTGGGAGCCAAGTGCTCGCTGTCCCCAAACCTGCTCGGTCCCTGGCAGACCCACGCGATGCTGGCGGGGAGGGAGCATCGTCCCACCGCACAGCCACCTCCGAGGGGGCACGGGGCCCAAGCTGAAGTCATTCTCATGACTTTTATTTTTTACCCTTGCACTTTAGTAGCAACAAGTTCTCCCCACTGGAGGAAGCAGGATTTAACACAAGCCAAGATGAACCCTTATAAACCAAATAAAACCTATTCTCTTGGAGGCTTTGCTTATTTAGACAGCAGCTCAAGTTAATACATCGCTCAAGTACTCTTGAGCATACTCTTTTTATTTCTGAAAATGAAAAGTAATAGAAAATGACATTTATTGAGGGGATTTAAAAGTGTGGGTTTTTTTTATAAAAGTACACATGTCTTACAAGCACTGCTTAAATACCCAGTGATGATAATTTTCCAGAACAGGAATATTTGGTTGTTCTTGCTGTCATGAAGTACTTGAAACCCCCTGTTGTACAGCCAGACCTGATCTGTATTCACCCCAGGACCTCCAGCTCCAGAAGCGTCATTGCTATCGTGCCAGAGGTTTATTTGCTTTCACCTATTCCTGATGCCTCGTGGCGGATGATCCTGAAGGAAATATCCAGCCCCTGGTGAAGCAGAGGTGCTTAACGCTGGTCAGTGTGTGTCCAAAATTCATTTTTGGAAATGGAAAAGAGAGGAGGAGGGTGCTGGGGCTGCAGATCCTCCTTGCTCCACGTTGCCCTTTCTGACACCACGTTGGCATTCGTGGGGCTTTCTCCCTTCGTTGACCTAACACGGCTGTGGGAAGCCGTTCGTCGCCATCCAACTCATTGTACAGAGCTACGCGTCCGCTTGCAGATGGGTGCAAACCTCCTTCCTTGCCTCGGGGAAGGGTTTGGGTATGGACGGAGTTTAAACCCTGCTGTGAAAGGCTGTGGGAGAGGCTGCACGATGCCGCTTGTAGGAAAAACACACGCAGCTACGCTGTTTGCCTTCCTCTGCCTCTTGGCTTATGAAATTAGCCCTGTGCAAGACGTGGCTATAATTTATTTTAATGCCGAGTTTTACTGGCTGAGCACATTACCCAGACTCTAATTCTAATTAAGCTAATGATATCGATATGCCCAGGGGCAGCAGGTGAGCAGGACGGGTGTATGACTGGGAGTTATAGAAGGAGGGCTTGCTCGGACAGGGGCTGGTGTCATTGCATGCCAGGTCGATGCTGGGGAGTGGGGCTGTCCCTGGGGTGGACGACTGATGGGATTAACGAGCCTGGGATCTGGGCTCTGGTGGCTGAGGTGCTTTCCAAAATAGGCTGTGGGTTTTTCCTAAAGCTAAAATATCCTGGAAATGTGAAAAAGCTACTGATGCCGAATGGCACGTGCACACATCTACACCCACCCCGCACTGCAGCGAGCAAGCCCACAGCCCCAGCTGATGCCCCTGGGTTCTCTGCCCTGCTCTTCACCATAATTCAGTGATGACCTTACCTGCAGAGGCTCTCCCATGCCAGGTCTCCCGGAGAGGTGGAAGTTCCCAGTGGAAGGTGGGATTTCCCCACTCCACCACGGCCGGCAGGTGCAGGCTGGGCTGTCCTGGCGTGCCAGGGAGCTGGTTTGGGGTGGTGAGAGCGGGCAGGTCCTCCCTGGCACACATCGGTGCCACCTTGGTCACTTTGGGGTGCGCCTTGGAAGAACTCAGGCCCATTTTGCAGAACGGTGACTTTGAAAGGAGAAGGAAAAGCCCCTCATGCACCGTCCTCCCTGAACATGGAGAGATCTTTGTGAGCGACCATGGGGCCCCGGGAGCACCCTGCTGGCTGCCGAGGCCAGGGCTGACTCCTACGGACATGCCCACATGTCCTTCCCAGCTCGGTTAAACATTGACCCATCCCTGGCCATTCCCCCGCGGGGATGAGAGGTGGCTGCTGTTGATGGAGAAGTGCAAAAGAGCTCACGGAGCCAGCGCCAAACCCCAGGGAAGCTTTGTTTTTTGCCTACAAGTGATTTTTTTTTCAACCAGGGGCACCAACTCAGCTGGCTGTTGGCTGACCCGGAGATTTTTCTACAAGCAGCTCTTTTAGTAAACCGTCAGGTTTTGGAAGGAAATTCAATCCTTGGAGCACCAGAAGGGTTAAAGCATCTCCCACCCTTCATGGGAGAAGCAGCCTGGGGGCAGGACCTTGCCGAGGAGCATCCACCACCCTTGCTCCTACCGGCACTGCTGGAAAAAATGTAGGTCTAGCACAAACCCACCTGAAAAAGTCAGTCAAAGTGAGTCATTTGGAGTTGGTGCAGGATTGGGCCAAACGCAGCAGAACTGGTGCATAAGGGAAAGATCCGCACTTCTCCATCTGCTCCCAAGGTGTATGAGGGGGGTTCAGAGGGCACGCTTTCCTCAGAGCTGTAGGGAACCATTCATTTCCAAGGTGGAGTGGTTGGAAAATAAGTAAGGAGGATGATTTATACAAGAAGATTAATATCGCAGGGTAGGTTTTGTGGCAGGAGTAAGGTTGTGGGAAGAGCTCAGAGCACCTGTGGGCTCTGCTGTGAAACACGTGGAAACCAGCAAACACCAGGAGCGTGAAGGAAAGCCAAAACTGGCGTCAGACCTGGGGTTCATTTAGCAGAACCTTATCCCACTCGGATTCCTGGAGGGATCCTGTATAGGTGTGGAGTGATTGGGACCTCTTTTGGATTTTCTCTTGGGAGAGGAGTGCTGAGAGGAGGGTCACACAGGGAAATGAGGGTCTCGGCAGAGCCAAGCGTCCAGCACTCGTGGCCAGTAGATCCACGGATGAACCACTCGACTCCCCCTTGATTGAAATGGGGAGGTTTTGAGCTGCAAAATGCCACCGGCAAGGGGTGGCACCTTCCAGAAGAAATTATTCATCCCTAGAGCAACCCAATGGGTTCGTGTTTGCAGCTACAAAGCACCAACATCACTCGTGACTTTGCTTTACAATGCGTCACATAGGGCGCAAGGTGAGCAGAGTAGCTTAGTCTGGTTTTTTTTTCCTTCTTCTTTTCAAATGAGAATGTAAAATCAACACCCTGCTTCCCTCCCCAGTTTCTCAATGCTTAATGTCTATTTTTCCATTAATTTTTTTTTTTCTTCCCCCTCCCCTGCTGAGAACAGGTCATTCCTGTTAAGCAGCTTGGGAAAGCTGTGAATTAAACGCAATGATGGATGTGTCGGAGCAGTGGAAAACCAAGGTGGATGTTAAAGCTAGCACCCATTGTGTCGTATCTGGGTGTTTCACCTGGGTGCAATGCTTGGCCGTGGCCTTGGCCCTGTTGAAGTCCTTACAGAGTCCCTCCTGCTCCCCTTGCCACCAAACTCCCTCTCTTGGCCAGGTTTCTTTCCAAGCCATATGGGTTTCCCCACTTGCTATGCAAGGTGGCACCACGGCCTGTCGTACAGTGATTTAGGGAAGGGGATTGCAAAGGGACAGACGTACCTGAGGTTGATGCTGCTCCAAGCACTTCAACTCTGGGTAAGGAGGTGCTCCTCTCTGCATTTAAAGGTGATGCAGTATCCTTCTGGCTGGTTCGTGAGCGCAAGATCTCACCTCCTCTGCTGCGATACAGCTCTGTGCTATACGTGCCCAAGGATGTTGGCCTGACAGCACTGTGTAGCACCTTGCTGCATCAGTTAATGACCAGTATCTCCCAGCAAATCCCTAAAATCTCAGCATCTGTTTACTTAGGAGCTGCACTTTGATCTCCACATGCCTTTACTTTGTAAAGCAAAGAGGACCAAGAGCAGCAGCTGTGGGTTTGGGGTGAGGGGAGGAAGGCAGGCTGCAAAAAGATGCCCTTTCTGCAGGTCGCTAGGGCAAACCGAGGGCAAGTTTGGGGTTAAACTGGGTCCCAGAAGGGCCCAATGGTACTGGAAGAGGCTCCCAAATGTTACCACTTGCAACTGCTGTGCCAAAATTACCCCTTTGCACCTTCACCTGGGCTCTCTGGACCGTGGCTGTGCAGGGTGTTGTGTGGATGCCAGGGGATTTGCTGGGGGAGCTCTGCACGTGTGGTGGTTGTGGATTTGTGGACATTGTGGCTACTGGCATCGTATCAACCTGCTCAGCTCCAGAGCGAGCGGCGGCAGCCCCTGCTACAGCACAAAGTCGTGCTGTGCTAACCCCTTCCCTTAAACCTGCCTTTAACACCAACTGATGGCGTTTGATGGGGGGGAAGGATGTGTTGAAGTAGAACAGGCCAGACTATTTCAGTTGGAAGGGACCTACAACGATCATCGAGTCCAACTGCCTGACCAATTCAGGGCTGACCAAAAGTTAAAGCACGCTGTTAAGGGCATTGTCCAAATGCCTCTTAAACACCGACAGGCTTGGGGCATTGACCACCTCTCTAGGAAGCCTGTTCCAGTGTTTGACCACCCTCTTGGTAAAGAAATGCTTCCTAAAGGTATGCCTGAGCTTCAGGCTGGCTTCATCACTGCTCTCCTGGTAACGTGAAGCTCATCCTTTTCTTTAACTGGGGGTTTATTTAATGCAGCCTTTTATCTGTATTTAAAGTTCAGTTTGATTCCCAAGCACTGTGCTGTAGAATCATGGGGCTGGAAGGAGCTTTGGTCCTGTACACTGGCGTTAGGGACAGCACGTGGTCCCACCCAGGAGAGTTGGAAATTCTTTACGCCTTTCTCCCATTTCATTTTTTGCCTGAAACCCTCCACCAAGTTCAGCTGGAACCTGTAAGCGATACTGATCTTGCCAGAACTGGATTTTCCAGCAAACTTCTTGTAGTCAAAATGAAATCATTGACCCCTAAGTGCTCTGGTGCCCTTGTTGTAAGGAAGATACTGGGAAAAGCTGATGGGTAGGGCAGTGCTATGACTTGGGGCAGGGCGTTTTCCCACCGAGGAGCAGAGGTTGTTACCCACCCATGGAGAAAAGGTGAACCAAGGGGAGGATTCAGCATGGGGCACTAGTCTAACATCCAACTTTAACAGCCGATTGCCTCTGCCTTAAAACTACTCCTTAAAAATGAGTTCTAAATTACAAAAAACACAGGCAGAGGAGGAGATGGGAAGTACGCAGCACTGTTTTTTGCCAAAATGCCTGGGCTTTATGCAAATCTCTGGTGAGTAAAGCAGAAAGAACCACAATGATGCAAATAGTCTTGCTGTTGTTTATTACGCTTGCAGTGCATTTAGGTAGCAAAAGCATGAACAAATGGAGCAGCGGAGAGGAAAATAATCCAGCATCATTTCACTGGCTGGAATACACACCGGTGCGACTAATAGATTCTGTTATTACACATCTGTAAAGTCAAGTTCCTCCCTCTGCTGCTTGTCGTTTGTATTAACAGGGGATGTTCATCTTATCCCAGCCAAGGCCGAGGATATCGGTGGTGCTGAGATAACATTGTCTGCGGCTGGATAGGACACGCACAGGCAATGATGCTCGAGGCAGGTTATTTGCGGCACGTTTTGTTTTCCTTCCAGAAAGCTGGGCCCTGGTATGAAGGACAATCTGATCACGCAGCTGCCAGATCAAATCTGGCATTTCACTTGGGGTGCCAACAAGACAGTGCAACTGAAATGAAACCCTCGTGTTGCCAGAGACGGTAAAGGGCTCATCAGAGATACCCACAGTGGCAGAAATAACCGCATCTGATCAGTCACTTGATGCCATGATTATTGGTTTGCATTCCTCTGATGGATCATCAACACCATCATGCAAAATAGCCTCCATTTATTGCCCGATTTCTTGGATTTAATGGATTTTCTCCGGCTGAAAGGCTGAGCTGCGCTCTAGGGAAAACAATTACCTTCCTCGCTTAATAAGGAAGAGAAACTGCAGGTTGGGCAGCGGGTGAATGAGGGGGCCTTAAGGAATCGATGAGCACCTCTGGAAAGCATCCGGGCACGATGCAACCGAGGGATTACGTACCAGCTGATCTCTGGGGCACTTGTGGCTACAGCGGTGGGCATTGCCTGGAGCTGATGGTGGGGGAAGGCTGCAGGAGCAACTCCCTCCTGCCCACCCACAGCAGGGGCTGGGGGGAGTGAAGTGGTGGGAGAGAAGGGAAAGCTGCAGCCCCGGTTGAAGTCTCAGCGCTGTTTGCTGTACAGGCAGCAACGTGGGGGATGCTCGCTCCTTGCAGAAAGCTTGGGTTGGGTTAGATGATGTCTGTTAAGGCTGATGTGAGGCAGGAGGTGGCTGCTGGGCTCAGAGCTATGCGTCTTTTCTCCCTGTAGAAATGCAAGGGTGATCACTGGTCCCTGGGGACGGGACCTGCACAGAGGCTGCTCGTAGAGAGTGACAGGCTGGCACAGTAACACGCTCTGCCTCTGGCCATGAAATGTCTCAAACAGGGGAAAAGTGACTCAAACGCAGGGATTTCACATGCTTTTTCCCTATTGAATACTCAATGAGGTTCCTTGAAGGATCCAGTCTGGGGCCTGCAGATGCTGCCATGAGGCTGCTTGCCAAAATTTACTCATCAATGCAAACTAAAAAGAAATGTTTGTTTTTTCCCATGTGTTCAGTTTGGCGGGAGCTAAGATTTCAGTAAAACAGATCCTAAAACTACCTAGTAATGTAAATGAATATACTAACTTCAAAATCAACTTGGGTGGTGCTGAACCTGCCACATGCTCTTTGCTCTCAGCCATATCATCCCATCAGGATCTCCTGTTTGATATAATCCATTTTTTTTAGAATGTTTTTAATGACTAAAAGCAGTAGATGAGAAGCTGAGCCCATCTTCTCAAATGCTAGATGAGACTTTTAAAAGACTGTCCGTGTACCCAAACCTTACGCCTCTGGGTTCAGTGCAAAGGGGATGGTTTGGGTTGGTTTCTCCAGCCCTAATTCTGCAGCTGTGTGATGAAAGAGCCCAAGTTTGGTGGCTTGGGGTTTTTTTTAATATACACAAGTATTTTGTTAGCTCTGCTGGCTGCAAGGAACAGTTTAGACATGAAGTGTAAACGATCAAAAAACATCAAATAGAAGAGCATCAAATAAAAAGGTGCTTTTGTTATTATTTACATGAATTGCTTGGTTTGCAGCGGTATTAAGCCCTCATGGCCATGGGGGGTCTGCCCGCCACCCTCCAGCCCCATGGCTGCCACCTCTGCTCCTGGGACCAGCCATGCCCCAGGCCGCTTCTCCAAATCGTGGGGCTCACAGGGGACCCCCACATACACCAGTGCAGTACCAGGGGTTCGTCAGGACTCGCCAGCCAGGACGTGCTCGCGGAGAGGTGAGCCGACAATCAGCCAAGATATAAACCACAGCTTTGTGCTGGGTGTGCTCTTGGTGTTATTTTAGTAACAAACGCAGTTGTTGCCATCATGTAACTGGTGTTATTAATAACAAACACTTCCTTTCTCTAATGCTTTTTTTTCCTAGCAGAAATACCATCAAACTCCCCCTCCTGCGAGCTGCTAATCAAACTGACAAGCAGTCGGCAGGCCAGGAGAGCTCAGAAATCTGTGATACTTCCCAGTTGTTTCTATTCTTCCTTTTAAAAAAAAAGGAAAAAAAATGATTGTCCGCATATCAACTGCTCTCAAATAAAAGTAATCTTGCACGGTTGATCCTAGGAATGCTGTAAGAGGGAACAGCCAGCCTAAATTACACAGTGGCAGGCTTCAGGAAGGAACAGGGTAGGTTGCTTGGTTTGGTTTGGCTTTCGAAAGGCTTTTCCATAGTGAAAGTTAAGAAAAATATTTGTTTGGCCCAAAGCTCTAGAAAATAGGAACTGACGTTTCCCAGGGATGCTGGCGATCTGGGGTGTTCAGTCTCTCATGAGAAGGTTGATGTTCAGCTAGGAGCGCAGCTTTTCTGGGAGAAAAAGAGATAAATAAGGTTATTTTTGTCTTTAGCAAAGGCACCCAAAATCCAGCACCACTGCTAGAATGGTGGTGTTGGAAATAGGCACAGCTCAGTGCGGCTCTGGGAGGGATGCGGGGCTAGGGATGGGGCCTGGTGAAGCTATGGCTGGTTTCAGGTTTGTAGAACATCTGCAGCTACACGGTCACAGGCTGGAGCAAACCATGGGTGTCACGAGTGGTGTCAGTTCTTTAGCAAAGGCTGGGACAAGCTGTGAAGCCAGCTAAGGGTGCAGCAGCAGTCCTGGAGTCGAGGGTGTGATCAACATCAGCTCAGTTACTCAGTTTGGGTGACTAGGGCAGGTAGAAATCCTACAGATCTACAAACAAGCAAAACTCGCTTAATTGGCAACACGTAAACATGCTGTTTTTCTACATTCAGCAATCGACTTTTCTCTTCTAGCCGCATCTCCAGGCTAACAGCACGGTAGCGTGTTCAGGTTATGTGTGAACTAGTTTTCATAACATATTTCCCAACAATGTAACTTAATGAAAAATTAATGTTTTGCACATCACAGGATATTTATTCTGATAATTCCTAATATCAAGGTGAACATTGGCCTTTTTCAGAAAGGAGAGGTTTGAAGTGGCTTTCCAAAACTACTACCTCACTTAAAGGTCACTTTGTTGAAAATAAGTCGACTCGTTCAATTTTGATATTTAGCTGGAAATATCCAAGATTTGTATCCTTGAGTATGGCTCTACTTTTGCCAGCAAAAGGAGATAAATGATGTAGACTTGATCCGTATTTTAAACCCACCAGTTCAGTAAGACACCAGGTTAAATGTTTTTTATTACAAAACATTTTATTGTAGTTATTTACACCCGTTCCTTGATAAGTGTATAAATGTAAACATTTATTATAGATGTATGTCTCTTATCTTACAGTTCATCCCCAGTCCAGAGTAAATGTCATTTTTAAGCATACAAGTAGTGAGGAAATTTAAGCTATATTCACAGAATATACATCTACGTGCAGTTACAGTCCACCAGCCCTATGCTAGTGGTATAGACACTGTCCCGTTAGCTCTACTTCTGCTTCTCGTGTGTACGCTGGAGTCTGTGATGTCGTCGGCATGATCCTCACTTTTCTTCTCTTTCAAGCTGTTGATGAACCTCAGGGTTATTTCATCCCATTCCTCAGGGAGCAGCATGAGCAGAAACCCAATGCAAATGATGATGGTGGCTCCCAACCTCACCACGCTGAAGATCATTTTGTGCTTCAACAGGTCCACAGCTGTGAAGAAAAACAACAATGCTGTCAAAACTGCAGCAGGATGAGCTACAGCATCAGACCAGCCTGGCACATCTCCGTAACCTGCGTGTTGCACTCTGGCTGTGACACTGGCCCCATTGCTCTCCATCCTCTAGACTGACCAGCTCCTTGAGTTCAGAGAACAGCTTGGACCTGACAGCATAGTGTTGGAAGTGTCGCGTCTCCTCCATGCCTCACTGCCTTCATGCAGGCTCCGAGGAAGCCTTGTAGGGCCCATCTAAGCCTCAAGGTTTCCACTTCTGCTCTGAGAGGGAAGGTACTTTATGGTAACTCTTCATCTACAGCAGGTTCCATCAGCATCGTGTTTCCTTGGGCTGCATGGCCCAATGATGGGGAGAGAGCAGCATGCAGCTCAGAAAGCTGGAGTTGAAGCCTCCAGGTCCAGCCTCCCAACTCCACAACCAGCAACAAAAGCACACCTGAGCCCTTCAGCAGCCTCTTATGGGTACTGACTGGTTCGCAGCTCTGACCCACCTTCCCCTAAAAATAGATGTGTCTTTGAAAACGTGCTCAAGTACCTGGAGTGGCGAGGCTAAGAGGGTGGAGGAGAAGACTGGAAGAGCAGAGACAGAGGCTATTCAACAAGATAGCACTCTGGAGTAAAATTCCACATATACACCCTGCCCTGCGGCTGCATGGCAAGTCAACAGCACAGTGCTGAGCTGCAGCAGCAGCAGGCTGACCCTGCCACCTCTCACCAGCAACCAACAGCTCTGGGCTGCTGGCTGGGGCTCAGCCTGCTTTCTCCTCTGCATGGTGTGGACACATCTCATCACTCCCAGAGAAAGGAGGCAAGATAAAATAAACGCTTTCATCAGCTGAAATACCCATCATCACGAGGAGCATCCGTGGAAGCCAAAGGAGACTGAACTGATTTTGAAATATGTGATAAGATTTTGACTATTTAGACAATAAACTGCTTCTGCTGTCTGCATGCCCATGGGCTTATTTTTCCACCCAACAACCACGGTACTTGTACCTGCATTTCCAGGGACGCTGAGCACTGTGCCGATAGAGATGAGAATGGGGTATGTAAGCACGACTCCAACATTAACCAGAATATTGAAAGCTAGGGAAAAACAGAGAAAATAATACATGATTACAGGGGAAAACACTACAGTGAGACTTTTATCCTCCACCTTCACCCTACAAGTATGATATAGGCTCAGTACACACACCACAATGATGTAGTTGTCACAAACTGATTCTTATTTTTCACATATGAGTGTGAAATGAGGGGAAGTTCTGCATGGAGGAAGAGGGAGGGCTGTATGTCCTTTCACAAACTGTAATACCAAAGTTATCACACTTGTATTTCACAGCTTTGTCCAAGCTTTAATTGGATACCAACAACCTAGTTTTGCTGCCATAAGCCATCATGTCTCCTCCTGCCAGAAGGATGGTGATCCCAGCTTCCCGTCTTGGCTGAGGCTGTGTTGTCCTTGTCTTAATAGGACATTTCACTGACGAAAGGCCCCACGCCCCTCTAGCTGGACCACACACCAAAGGTGACAGAAGCAGGAACTCATACTCTAAAGGACACTAAATATGATTAGTTGATGAAGGTAACTGCAAACTAAGTAGATTGGAGTAAGACCATGGTCTTGCTGCCATGTTGAAGGCAAAATGAAAGCTGACAGAAGTACAAATGTTCAACATCTTTAATTTATGGATTAGGGTTTGGGTTTATTTATTTATTTATTTACACAACAGCATTCCCAGCCAGCTCCAATTTCCATGAGAGATCCAAAGCAAACTGCAAAAACTGCTCTTTCATACCATTCCCTAGGGTGCTCTTGCAGCCAGGGGCTGGTGCTGTGGGCTGTGGCAGCCCAATGATGGGGAGAGAGCAGCATGCAGCTGCCCCCATCCCCGACCACCCACCACCAGTCCTGCTGAGTCCTCTACGTAAAAGGAGTAAGTTTGTTCCACAAGGCTGTTCCCTCCTAGTTGGGCTTACACTTGGGTAGATTGCTGAGTGATAAGTTATCCCTACTTTTTGTCCCTTCAGGTGCCCACAGACCAGCTGCAGTTCTGGTTAGAGACGTTTCAATGCTCAACCCCATGCACCAGTACAGGCTGGGGGCTGACCTGCTGGAGAGCAGCTCAGCGGAGAAGGACCTAGGAGTCCTGGGGGACAAGTTAGCCATGAGCCAGCAACGTGCCCTTGGGGCCAAGAAGGCCAATGGGCCAATGGTACCTTGGGATGCATGAGGAAGAGTGTGGCCAGCAGGTCGAGGGAGGTTCTCCTCCCCCTTTGCTCTGCCCTGGTGAGGCCACATCTGGAGTGCTGGGTCCAGTTCTGGGCTCCCCAGTTCAGAAAAGACAAGGAACTACTGGAGAGAGTCCAGCGGACCGCAATGAAGATGAGGGGCCTGGAGCATCTCCCTGATGAGGAAAGGCTGAGGGCACTGGGTCTGTTCAGCCTGGAGAAGAGAAGACTGAGAGGGGATCTCATCAATGCTTGTAAATACCTTAAGGGCGGGTGTCAAGAGGATGGGGCCAGACTCTTTCCAGTGGTGCCCAGTGACAGCTTAAGGGGCAACGGGCACAAACTGAAACACGGGAAGTTTCATCTGCATATGAGGAACTTCTGTACTTTGAGGGTGGCAGAGCCCTGGCACAGGCTGCCCAGAGAGGCTGTGGAGTCTCCTTCTCTGGAGATATTCAAAACCCACCTGGACGTGATCCTGTGCAACTGCTGTAGGTGACCCTGCTTTGGCAGGGGGGTTGGACTGCATGATCTCCAGAGGTCCCTTCTAACATCACCCATTCTGTGATTCAAAGTGCTCACAGCAAACAAAAACTAAAAAAACCCCTCTTCAATTATGAAATAATAGAGACTTTACTGAAAGAAAGGATGTTGTTATACCTGGAAATTAAAAGGCCCATGGGCTGAATCCAACAGATAATCTGCCTGGCTAGAGGAGAGCAACTGTGGCTCTGAAAGAGGGAGCATCATGGTAGGGCAGAGGGGAGTTGAAGACCGCAGGCAATAAAACAGCACCAGCCTTTGTAGGCTACGGCAAAGCTGTGTGAGCTCTGCCCAGCGCCCTGCAGCACCCACCGAAAGGTGTCCCAGAGCCGTGGGTCCCCGTGTCACTGCACACACACCCTACGGAGCACGCCAGGAACTGACTGGGTACAGGCAGCCCTTTGGAACTGGATTTATAGCAATCAAGCTGTGCCAGAGACAGGGAAATACTGCTCAAACTATGGTAGGAATGTGAAGATGAAAAGTGGACAATCAGTATCACTGCTTCCACGTTTATCCTCTGCTATTAATATTAGTACTAAGGCTTCTTATGAAAAATAGGAATAATTTCTCAAGGAGTACCTGTTTGCACTGGGATCAGATTTAATCTCTGACGGAGCTCTGCTGCTTAAGGGGTAGGAGGGAATTGTTTGTGCCTGAGGCTAATTTTGTATTGGGGCGGGGAGGGGAGAAGAGGTAGAAAAATGAGTAAATTTTTTTTATCACGTACCTAACCAGAGGCCGGCTACTCCACACAGGTAACCCCACGGCACAGCAGAGAAGGGGGACCAGTACTCCACTTTTGTAAAATACAGTATGATCGGGGTAACAGAGATGAAAATTAAATTGAAGAAGCCTAGGGTAGAAACAAAATGAGCCGCTTCCCCGAAGTTCGCACTTCCAAGAAACATTTTGAACAAAACCTGCAAAGGAGAGGAGAGAGGAGGGCTTTAGCCTTCGTGCCTGTCATGGGAAGCCAAGTTCTCCTGCACAGAGTCTCCACTCCCTTGGGGAGAGTGGAGCACGGCACAGCCCTGACCAGGCCAGCGTGTCACAACCCAGTCCTTTCCTACAGGAGAGTTTTGCAAGGGGAACTTTGGTCCCATTTCTGCTCTTTCCTGCATTTTAGCGCAGAGAGGGGACACCATGTTATTACTGTGAGGACCACTGAGTCTATATAACAAAACTTAATACAAAATACCATGAGGAGCAAGTGAAGCTAAGAACCCAAGGACGACACCATCCGTGCAATAAAGTTACAGGATTTGGGCCATGTTTGGCACTGTTAGGATTTGCGAGGGAACTCCAGTGACTTCCACAGATGAACCTGCTGTGAGAGGAAAGCCCAGCCTGGAAGGACTCACTTCAGATTCACAGCCAGCACAAGCCTCATAGAGGATTTTTCCTACATGAGCCTAAATTCATGCACTTTGAGTGACTGGTGAACGGTCACAACAAATTTATTAGCGAGCCAAAGTCTAAAGCTGCGAGGCAACTTCTTATCCCACTCCCAACTAACTCCAAACTTCTGCCTCTCTTTACACACACTTCACCCTCCCCGAGCTGACGATAAACACAGCCACGTTTGGCCCAACCTGTTTCTAACTCGGACACATCCCTACCTTCTTCATCCCTCACCTTCAAGAGCAGCCACGACTTTCAAGCAGGGGGCAAAGCCCTGCCTGTCTCTAACGCATCGCCTGCGCCAGGCAGGCACAGGGGCTCCAAGCCCAGCACCAGCGCCGAATACGCAAGGGAGCTGCAGTGCAGAGCGGGGGTGAGCTGTCCGTCCCCGCTCGGTGAACGCGGCGCTACCCGCATTCAGGCTCTCCACCCTGATGCGTATAGCAAGCCCCTTCGAGACAGCGTCGATAAACTGCGGTGGCAGGAAACGATTAAAACATGATCCTAAACTCCTTGCAGCGTAGTAAGGGAGATTTCATTAAAGGTTCATAAAGGAAAGTCATTCTGAATATTTGGCAGCTAACAACTAATTACCCTCATAGTAGATTTCCTGACACCGTGACATCACCTGGTCACAATATTAATGACGTAGGAGGGATGAATGAAATAAAACATTTATTTTCTAGTGATTCGCTTTGTATTCATGCATTTTTAACATCCAATGTTAAAGAATATAAGAATACTAATAAACAGTTATGACCTACCTTATACAATGCAGATGTAGAGGCTGATCCAACAGCATATGCTACCCCGATAATTGAATCACCCTGGAAACCATCTGCATATGCCATCATTACGATTCCTGTGATTGCCATTATTGCTGCAACTATCTGCACAGACAAAGCAAAGCAACGTAAAGCTCAGTGAAATTTCATTACACGGAAAGAGATTATCACTGTGAGGGGTTTTAATGAGTGTCACTAGCTACTTGCTCTGACTTGAAGCTTTCTTGCTTTCCCTTAAATAGGGAAAATTATGTATGGTTGGGAGAGATGTAAAACATAATGAAAGTGTATGCACTGATAGTGATATGGATCTACAGCATTGCAAATTCTCCTGAGACCTACTGACAGAACATCCATCATTAAGTATTTTATAAGCTAAACAGCCACCTTGGAGATACGAATCCAAGATCAAGAAATTTTAAGACATTATGCTCTACCATACAACAAGAGAAATATTTAGTAACGTCACCAATTTGACTTGAAAAGCAAACGTTCAGGTGGCCAACCTTCCTGGACATCAGTCCAGGAGAATGATGCCTGGATTATGGAATACCGGCTGTGCACGGTATTTCCTAACAGCCCTGCTAGCTTTCTCAGACAGGCATGATCAATTTCCTTTATGAAGCCTTTGCCTTTGTGCTTAGGTTTATGGCCTCATTTGAAAATCCCAGACAGAGTTTCTAAGAAAAAAAAACAGAAACAATTAACTACACCGTATCTGAAACCCTGAGTCTTTACTCCAAGGACCTTAAGGAAGTGGTAGGGATCCCAACATGTTTTATTCTTTGAAAAACTCATCCTCTCTACCTAATTGCCCTCAGCAGGTAAATATGGAGTCTGAATTTCAAAGACATTGAATACCTAGCTTCCATGGCCCGCATAGGAAAACGTGTTTCCTCAGACCCGTGGAAAATCACAGCCCCATTTCTGAAAGACAGGGTTTTTACAGAGATTTTTAAAAACTTAGTATTACATTATATACTTTATCATTATAAAAAGGCTGGGTGTAGAGCAGAAGATGCACAAATGCAGATACCCAAAGCTGGCTGTTACAGAATCAGCAGCAACTTTTAAGGTTCAGACCCTGTTTTCTATTCCCAGATATCCATTAAATCACACAACTCCCCAGGGGACAGGCAAGGCAGGCTCTCCCTATTCATACAAAGCAAGAAACTAATGTGGTTCACCCAGACAGTGCTAAACTCTGCAAAGACTGCCACACTGACCGGCTCCCCAACTCAACTGCTGAGCCAGGCAGGGTTTTTTACCTTCTTGCTCCTGCAGCTCCGGTACAATTCCTGAGCCAACACCAATGTAAGATGGATGCTTGCTTCCTGGAAAACCTCATTAAACTTCATTTAAGAAATATTTACTACTAGACAAACCTAAGCTTCACATGCTTCACACCACAGACTTTAAAGGCATCTTGACGAAACCATGTGCCCTTTTGCAGAGAAGCCCGACTTTCATATCTCACACGGTTTTACCAAGAGTCCCAGAAAACCCACTGCGACTCATACAAAGCAGATGTGAGCCAGACTGAGGCATTAAGCACAAAAATCCCACAAAACAATTTCAGCAGAGCCAGTCAGCAGAGCAAAACCATGTTTCAAGGGACACACAGGACAGGGACCCAGGCCTGACTCAGGACAAGGTGTCCATACATGGGGGACAATGGGGAACCAAGAATCAACTCCCTGGGCGCAGCTGTAAGTACCCCCCTCTCACCGTTAGCCATATTCTACCAGTAACTGAGGCACACAGGTACCCCCCTTGCATTGCAGTCGCAGTCAGAGGCACAGGGAAGAGTGGAGTCACAAACCACAGTGCATGTCTCTATCCCACCTCACTTCCATTTAAAACATCCAAGCTCCAAGATATGGTTCAACAAAGCTGCCTAGCTGACACCTAAACCTGAAGATACCGTTGACACCTCCAAATTCACCACGAAATGGCACTTTGAAATCCAGATCCCCGCAACTTAATGACATACATACTCACAATCTCTCAGGTGTAATGCAATGGTTTGATGAGATCTGGAAGAGTTTTAGCAAGAGAGGATCAGACGGCTTCCCTCCCATCCTTCCCAGAATAACACATCCCAGCAGTCAGGCCATCCCAGGAGGACGGCTTGAGTCCCGTCATCCAAAGGATGGACATGGATCCAAGGCTGCCATCCCTGGACCTGGGGCTCTCACTGGCGAGCTGCTGAGGAGGACAGGGGAGCACGCTGCATTTCCCAGTGCCTAAATAGGAATCTGGCCTTCACTCCCTGAGTGAGCTGGGGTGCTGGAAGACATCATCCTCTGCTCTTCACTCTGCTGAAAAGTCAGGGCACATCTGGCACAGGACACACACACCATCATCAAGGTGCAGCAATGCTTATTCTGATCTTCCTGAGCTTACATCTACCCAAGGACCTGTGAGCAAAACCAAGTTAAATTCTCTTAGAAGAACGAGTTTCAGTCCCATTGAGTGGGAACAGTCCCTACAGAGCTGCTCCCTCTTACCTTTGGTTTAGTGAGTAGTTTGTTAGTAATATAATTGTGTAATACTGCTGTTCTCCTTACAGCTTATCCTAAAATACAAACACCACAAAGTCCCAGCCTTGAAGCAAAGCAGAATTACACCCAGGACCTCTCAGACATCAGCATGGCCCCTTCTATCAGTTTCCAGAGGCCCCCCTTGCCCTGTTACACTGCCTGGCTGGCTTCATCTCAGGCTGCACTATACATCTTGCCTTGCACATAAATTCAGATGTAGCACTTCAGCTGTCAGCTGAAATATCTCAGCTGTAATATTTCAAGCAACGTCTCCCACAAGGCAAAAAAGAAAAGTTCAATGCAGTTACCCCCTCCTTCCGAGGGAAAGGGTTGAGATTTAACTCTTAGTGCACTCATTGCTCAGACCCAGCGAGTCCTTTCCTTGTATTAGTGAAAATGAGTAAATCCATCATCCCCGATAGAAGAGTCTTCCTATTGGGAAAATATCTTCCCAGTCTGACTACACCAAATTCAGAGATCCAGTTTCCTAATTTAATCAAATATTTAGAAAGCCAAGCACTTTTTTTTTCCTGAAGCAACTAAAATGATGGACACATATGGAGCACCATCTCACGAGACACTAGATAAATAAGACTTGACACTGGAAAACAGCGAGAACGTTATTTAAGTTTCATGTTCAAAGCTCTTCCTGCAAATTATACACCACTGCATTAGCACAGTTGACCTCTGCCTACAAATTGTCATGTGTTTGCTTTAGAAACCTGAGAGCACATCCTGCAGGCTTCTGTGAGCTGACAAGGAGCAGCAAGGTCACAGTGAAGCAAAGCTGGTTGTTGTAGCTGACAGCTCGTTAAACAAGACTTTTAATTAATGGCAGAGGGTAGTAACTTTCTTCTGGAGCCTCCTAGGTAAGGAATGAAATCAGCCTGCCTCTTTTTCTTCTTCTTTTTTTTTTTCTCCTTCCCCTGGAAAAGAGCAAGGCCAACCAACAATTTACTCAGGAACAATTTTTTCCCATTGTGAAGCACAGCAGAAAATGAGGTGCTGTAGTAAAGAAACCTGTCTCCAGGCTAGAGTAACCTTCTGGGGAGGAAAAATGTCCCCAAACCACTCCGTACCTACCTAATAAGCATTAATTCAACTTCACAGATGAAAGACAACCAAGGGCTCAAACAGGCAAACATTTAAGCATGTGGCTAAATCTAAGCAACACAAGCCAACAGAACTACTCAAATACGTAAAGTCTTTTAAATATTTGCGCTTGCTCAGAGCCAAAGCTGTCCGGACTTCTGGAAGTCCCAGTGTAACACAGATACATTATTAATTTGTGAGATGCTCAGAAGTGTCCAAGCAAAGTAGATTACAGTGCAGGCAAGGAATGTGCTGTGTTTCCTTGTGCAGGGCGGTAGGTACTTCAAGGTACCTAAGGTCTATCAGCACTACTTTTATAGGTAAAGAGCTTTATAGTCATTGCTGTATATGTCCTTCTCATACGAATACTCTTTCTCCAGCTGGTGTTTTTCTCTCTTGGGTTGGGTGCAAGCTTCTTCCCACGTTACAGCATCACCACTGAGGGCACGTGGCTCTCACTGCAGAACACACACTCCAGGTAGCTCAAACGCAGACCAGGGCACCGGAACCTTTGCGTGCAGCTCCTGGCAGCCCTTCTGCAGTTAGTCAACGCTTCCAGGGGCAAGATTATGCCATACCATAAGGTGGCCATCAAGACAGGTTTGTCTTTAGAAAGCCCATCTGAAAATCAAGTCCCCCAGCCTGGCCGGTG